TCGGAAAAAGAAGCAAAGGAACTTAAGATCAATCATTCATACGCTTAAATAAAACCTCTTTTTCATCTCTTGTTAATTCTACCAACAGTTTATAACCGACTTCCCAAAAGGAGGAGGTTATCAATTCGGCATTGTATGTATGTTTTTTTTACAAGCTTCTGACACCATACAACTATACAATACACAATTCCACAGAGCGTAAAATTCGAAAAGACAGTCCGAAACCGAAGTCCCATTTCGAACATTTCACACTTCTAAACATATCACTATTCTTACAATTTCATTCACTGAGCCATACGATCTGAGTATCTCACTACGTATTGATCTCTCGATGGGAAAGCTATGGGAGACTGACCGTGACGACTCAGGTTACGATCTCGTGGATATCAGATCTCATATTTGTGTTGATGGTTTATGTGAAAAATAGAGGTATCCATGATCATGTTGTCAGATGACAATACATTGTAAAAGTGAAAATTGTAATTGTAGTTCGAAAGGCGAATTACTGGGGCTCCGGCTCGAAGTGCAGAAGTAGGAACGGGGTGGTTTTTAGTCAGTAAGAGTCTGACACTACCCTCTCGCCTCATCCAGGCGGGAGAAGTCATTGGATGATTACCCCCATTAAAAAAAGTTATAGTCTTGAATAGAATGTTGGAACTCATTTGTTATGAATTCTATTTCCTTTGCTTCTATTTTACGAAATATTTCGGAACGCTTTGAATCATTTATCTACATGTTTGATTGCTGATGAATACAAATTTATTATTAGTTCAATAACAATTTGTAATAAAGAATCTTGCTGCACAAACATTATTGTTAACGATCCTCACTCTCGCATTATGAAATATAAAATATAAATATTTCATTATTATCAACCTGATTAATTTAATGGCACAATGTATTGACAAATGATCTAAGCTATTTATTGTGACACAGATGACACTTTATCATCAAGCATTCCACAACAGGCCGCCAATCTGTTTCTATATTACGAAAATTAAATATTTATATGTCTAACAACGATGCATTAGACGAAATTTGAAAAAATAACATGAGTCTATTTAGTGCCGACGTCATTAAAGACTGCTCTTAAATATGAGCGGGCTTTTTCATATCACAAACTTCTTTCTGATTTAATGATTTAACTAACTCAACGTCTTGTCTATCAGGTAACATCCAATATGCAAATATATTCATATAAATTATATATTTGGTAATTTATGCTAATATCCCTTGTGAACTAATAGAGGACGTCCGTTCGAATGATTCTATATCAACTGGAGCCAAGATTTTAACTGCTATGGGAAGATTCTGATGTGAAATTGGGCTCGTCTTTATCGAATCAAATCAAACTATTTAAAGGTATTTATTAGTGTAATATTGCTTACGGTAGGTTTCCATCGGAAGTAGTGTAATTTGAAAATAATAATTAATGGGAGAATTAAGTTAGTAAGGGAATGAGAGGGAACATAGCTATGTCTCTTTCGCACAGATTTGATGAAACAATTGACGGCACGGTTTTTGCAATCCTTGAATACAATGGATGAGGTAAACGTAATTGTATGTATAATGATGTTATATTTAGTTACATAGACGAGACTTCAACGTGACAATTAAATAAGTATAGCAATTTACATCTTGTGTAAACGAATTAGAGATCAAAATTAAACACTTAAAGATTCAAATTATAACATCGTAAAGCACACATAATAAAGAAATTACTGATAAAAAGCAAACGTTAATTGGCGTTTCTAAGTATTTATTTACCACTAATTTAATTTATCATTCAAGTAAAAAAGTAGTAAGTGAAATTCTTGATAGAGGTAATGATTTGAATGTTAATTAAACTAGCTATGGACTTGTTTACACTGACCAAAGACGTATTCTATGATAATATGTATGATTTATACTCCGTCTTTGAATCCATTCAAAATTAGGTTATCGATACCTACTTTCAGTCGATTCACAACCATTAACTTTCATATTTGATGCATTATCCCAGAGACATATACCATTTATAATATTAGCACTATCATATATAAAAAAGCGTTTTATAATCAATTTGATAATTAAATTTATGTTGTTGCTATATAAAATTGACGCAAATATATTCAAATTTAGCCTGTTAATTGTGAAACAACGAACATTTTATAGACAGTTGCTTATACATCACACACAGATCGGCCATCAATCGATCATGATAACGACTGTTCCAATAAAACAGCTAACCAAAGACGTGTTGTAACACGTTGATATTTCTTTGAGTGAACTAAAACTGTAATGGATGCTGTACATTGGAGAAATGTATGTGTCAATTGATAGATAGCTGTTAATTTTAATACGATTTGTCGTGACTGTCGGGTGATAGGTGATGGGAAAAGGTTCGTAGGTGATTTGTGGTTGAGCATTAGGAGTTCAAACGCTAACACGAGTGTATGTGGGGTCAAATGCATTAGCCACCTAGCTCGCAAATGTACTCATACCCATGAGTACATTTGAGTAAAGCTTTATAAATCATTAAGTTATTTTGTGTTTGTTCGACAACTCGACCTTTGGTAGCTTGAGAATTGTTTGGTAGCGATTCGCTATTGATCGTTTTTGCATTATGTTTTGATTGGTATGTAAATGTTTGCAATTTCTTATTATGTTTTTTTCTTTAAGAATTGGCTCACAACATGACGCCTTTATTTTGTATTGATAGATAGTTAGCAGGTATACTTAGTATGTAAAACGGTTATGTTATCCTGTTTAAAGCTGTGAGATTTCGATTCTATCTTTCATTTCCCATCATTTGTATTAACGAGTCCAAATCTTTGTTCTAGAAAGTACCTATTAATGTCACAATAATAATATCGATCTAAATTAACATCGTTTATTGGGCAAACAAGACATAAAACAATTTTATACCTAGTTAATTAACCAGAAAATATTTTATTTTAATACCAAAACAAAAAAAACTAGACTGAAACGTTATTTTGTCGCCATTAAAAGGTCTATTATCTTAACTAATATTATAAATCGAATAGTGAGTTTGTTTGTTTGTTTGTTTGTTCCGCTTTTACGCCGTAATTACTAAACCGATTGCTTTGAATTTTTGCAGACGTAAAGTTAGAAGTCCGGATTAAATAATAGGGTACTTTTTATCCCGGAAAAGTTTGATATTCCCGAGGGAAAACAAAAGTATTGGTATAGATGGCGCTGTGTGTATTGGTATATGTCACATAGGCTATTTTTTATCTTTTTGTGACGCGAGCGAAGCCGCGGGTAAATGTAGTTGAATAATAAAATGGAAAAAAATCAACTCTTACTCTTTATGTTACGAGCTATTAAATTAATTATTATTTCTTTTATTTTTCTTCGGACGTCGGAAGCTGAAATCTAATTTAAATTTTGATATATGTGTGAAATGAAGTATTTCGTCGTTCGAGTAAAGTGTTGAATGTCAGCATGGGACACCATATATAAAGGTTTCATATTATCAAACTAGTTGACGTACTAATTAGCATAGGTTGTTAAAAATACAAGTTTCCGATATACAGAGAGATTATAGCAATGTCGGTTAATAAATTAGATTAATTAATATTTTCTACTTCATTGTAGGTAAACTCTAATTGGTTTAGTGTTGTTTTTGTAAGACATCGTTGTTAGTTTTGCAAATTTATGTTTTCACAACATATTTACGAGGCAGGTGATTAGTTTCGACTGTCAAAACTAAATTGTACTGCCTCGTTGACCGAGTGGTCGCAAGTGCGACTGCTGGGCAAGGGGTCTCGGGTTCGATTCCCGGGTAGGGCAAAGTATTACTGGATTTTAAAAAAAATCTCAGTAGTTGCCCGAAGTCTGGAAATGTGCCCGGTATATGGCAATAGGCTCACCCCCTATTACATGGGACTCATAACATAAATAGTGAAAAGTGGGTGTTACTTCTGTGTGCACCCCTGCCTACCCCTTCGGGGATAAAAGGCGTGATGTTATGTTATGTTATGTTAACTAAATTGTAATGAGTAGAGAAATTCATAAGATATCTATCAAGAGTAAATCTAATGGTAAGAAGTCACCGTAGCTTAAAGTACATGTGAAAGACCTGAAATACCCCAGGTCCACAGGAAGAAATTCCTATAGGAATAGGTGATACCTTTGTACTTTAATTTTATATATGTGTTTTGTCCTTTATGTTGTGTCGAGAGTCATAACATAACATCACGCTTTTTATACCCGAAGAGGTAGGCAGAGGTGTACATTATGCCACTTTACAATGTAACACCCACTTTTCACTATTTATCTTATGGTTCCCATGGTATGTGTGTGTCGAAAATAATGGAAAAAAAGTCTTTCATGAAATCCTATCATATTATGGTAACTATTCTAATAATGTAGAATTAGAATTCAGTAGTAGCACGGAGTCTGGAATTGTGCCCAATGGCAATGGCTCACCCCCTATTACTCACACTCACTACTCACCTATATACTACATGGGACTCGTAACATAAATAGTGAAAAGTGGGTGTTACATTATACAGTGGCATAATGTGAAACTGCGTACCCCTTCGGGGATAAAAGGCGTGATGTTATGTTATTTTTTTATTTTATTCTAATAATGTAGTAATTTTAACAATAATAACACTTTCATTGTAACCAACAATGTAATTATAGCTGAATTATCTGCATAACTTTGTCTAATAATCGATTTCCGTCTACCATTAAGAGCTTCATAAGCGCAATAATCTTCTAAATATAAAACACTATCGAAATGAAACCAGCTCGACGTATTGAGAGCAAAAATCACGAGCTATCATAAACCCTATGAACGGAAGTCAACCGGACAACCATTACGGCAGTACACGATCCAGTTCTGATTTTATTACCACCAAACATCCTCAGTTACTAGTCAAGGCATAGGCGTAAAGCTGGATACTCACAGACGGTTCAACTTGATAGAAAAAAAACCTTAAATTTATCCATCAAGGGACTCGTAAGGTTTAGTATCCGCTGAACTAATTTAACGGGTAACCGGGGCTCCGGCTCGGCGTGCAGGAGAAGGAACGGGGTGGTTTTTAGTCAGTAAGAGTCTGACACTCCCTCCCGCCTCACCTAGGCGGGAGCAGTCATTCGATGATTTTCCCCCCTTAAAAAAAATCTGAGGCTCCGAGCCACCACGATATATTATAGGTATGAGTGTGAGTACCCAGCTTAAGAATTTATTGCCCGTCTCTTTGCGCCGCGCCCTCAACTGTTCCAAATGTTCGATTGGTGGCAAAACGTTTGTTTCACGAGTTACGACCAGTTTTGGCAATTAAGAGAAATCTTGTTACAAGGCAACTGCGACTAATTTGTTGTTGCGTATGAATTGTTGAATGTTTATTGGTGTAATTTAGGTGTAAGTTACTTGTAACGTAAAGTATTTTATTTAATTATTATGTGATTGGCCGGTAATTACTTAATATGTTGTCGGTATGTGGAATTTCGATGTAATTGAATTCGATTATAGTTGTTGTTGGTTGTCGCACATACTGACTAGGTACAATCACGACGAAATACAAAGCAAGCGTTGCTTCACGTTGGTTTTCTGTGAGGCCGTGGTATCACTCCGGTCGAGCCGGCCCATTCGTTAGTTCCTTCATTTACAGCGTAAATCTACTGCTATGATTCTTTTTACACAATACTCCACTCAAATCTGTTTTCAATATACATCTTATACCACATAGGATCAATAAGATAATATTAATATCACAACCTCCTTAATATTTTTTTTCTCCTTCAAGTAAAACACGATCTTGATGCCTTGGATGCTCATCCTCGTGGGCACCCTTCTCGTTTTCATATCCCACCGCATCAATCCACTCGAATTTCACCGCAGAACTATACTAAAGACATTTGATAGCTCTTTGTAATTGCGTGTTAAGAACATCTGGTTTGTTCTTGTACAATATATAATACATAACATCACGCCTTTTATAGCCGAAGGGGTAGACAAAGGTAAACAGGTTTTTTAAAAAAACCTCAGTAGTAGCATGGAGTCTGGAAATGTGCCCGAAATATGGCAATAGGCTCACCCTCTATTACATGGGACTTATTACATAAATAGTGAAAAGTGGTTAAATTGTACAGTGGCAATAAGTACCGTAACGTGCACCTTTGCCTATCTTTCAGAAAATAAAAGGCGTTATGTTATGTATATCACTAGCACTGTGGCGTTGCCAAACGGCACTCAAGTAACATTTATCCATCTAACTTTACTAAGTCATGGTCAATGAAAATAACAAGTACTAGCTTCTGCCCGCTACTTCGTACGCGCATTCCCGATATTTCCCGTTCCCGTTCTTGATTTTCAGTAAAAAGTAAAAAAAAAAGAATTGGGTAAAAAGTATCCTATGTCCGTCTCCTGGTTCTAAGGTACCTCCCCACCAATTTTCGTCCAAATCGATTTAGCCATTCTTGAGTTATAAATAGTGTAACTAACACGACTTTCTTTTATATTATATAGATTTAGGAAAACTCAAGTCCATAAATGCATTGCTTTATACAAAGCCGCGGCGAATTTAATGGGTTACCGAGGCTCCGGCTCAAAGTACAGGAGTAGGAACAGGGTGGTTTTAGTCACTTCCTCCCGCCTCACATAGGCGCGAGAAGTCATTCGATGACGTACCCCCCTTAAAAAAATAGTTGCATTCCTTTAGGTATGCTTGATAACATTTTTTGAGTAAAAACCACAATAATATTCAAAGTAATAATACTGTAAACGTTTCTAATATTAGAACACGTAATATTATAAGAAATATAGAAGGTGGTTAGCCTGTCAATGTTTTTGTTGCATATCTAAACGGTTTCATAACTTTTTTATTTGCAACTAAAAACCGTAAACATTATAATGTAAAGTTCTTTTTTATAAAATCGATTTTAATGCGAGATAAGATTCAATAATGTCGTGGTGGTCGAAGGTTCTTATGATAGAAAAAAATCCTGAAAATCTTATGGGAATGGCAGAAAACGGGATTTCGCTTAAGAAGTTGGGGACAGAAGCTATTAATTAATGAAATAGGTTATTAAAATCGCCAGTATGTTGTATTCGTGATATATTAAATCATTAATTATGTGAAACAGTAAAGATATAGGTATATAGTAATAAAGAAGGTTTTTGGGCTTTTATTTTGTAGTTTTTGGGAATACTGATGTCGTGGTTGCCTGGAGGTTTAAGACGCCTGCTTCTCATGCATGAGGGTTCGAAACCTATCAACGGCAAGTACCAATGTGACTTTTCCCGAGTTATATGTACTTTCTAAGATTATTCAGACACCATTGACAAACGGTGAAGGAAAACATCGTGAGGAAACCTGAGCTTATAATTTCTAATTATAAGTTTGTAATCGCCAACAGACACACCCTTAGTTATTAATTCTAATTCTCTTCTTTTCCAGTTATAATTCTAACGCAACACATTTCAAACATATAACCCCAGCTCTTAATTAAATGCCTAGGCTGGCTTTAAGATCTAATTTTTACGAGATCATTACGCCACGCTGTGCATTCAGTTACAATGTAACAAACTAAACGTTTAAATGAAACCGCTAACTGAATATTCAACCAGCAATAAAATAGCTTTTAAAAACTAGTAATTTTCAATAGACGCTAGTCGTGACGTGTCTGCCCGTAAATATTGAGTCCGGTAATCGAACCTGGGCCCGGACGCATCTAACTACCGGTTAATGTAATACGCTCCGTGCCGCATTAGTTCTGATAAGAATTTCCAGTGCAGCAAACACCTTTTGAAATTAATTGGTTTGAAGGAAATTATTACGTATTTGTTGACACATAGAAGACATGTTTGTTTGTTATTATGGTCGTAGTTCCTTAATAACATACGAAATGCCAAACCTATAGTGTATTTATACAATGTAATATCCACCTGGTAAAATATAAACCTGGTTTCAGGTGTATATGTTTTTTAATTTATGGAGTAAGCCGTAAAACGGTCAGACGGATCTCCTGATGGTAAGCAACTGTGTGACTTCTTCCGGTTGAGTTAGGCGAGAGGGGAAAAAACCTATCCACTATCATTTACCTTATCATGGATTAGGTTTGCAACCTGTATGCTAAACGCGAAGGTTTTTGCAAACTCTTGTAGATGAGGCCAATAAATAAACAATGCACCTTTTTTAAAGGGTTGAAAATCATCCAATTACTTCTCCCGCCCGATTGAGACGAGAGGGAGTGTTAGACTCTTACTGACTAAAATCCATCCCGTTCCTGCTCCTGTACTTCGAGCCGGAGCCCCGGCAACATCTTAAGTCCTATATTTTATTAGGTACCCGTCTATTTCGAGCGTTTCTCTCCATAACTATAATAATCTTTCACAATAATTAAAACGCGCCAAAACAATCAACACTTTTATAAATCAGAGCCAAATATGTAGACACATTAATATCATATCGACACTTCCGACAACTTCGAACATATAATTCATTGAATAACAGTAAAACGATTGTGGAAACCAGCTCATTTTCAAATCTGTACGTCTAATTTGGCAATATAGCCATTTGGCTAAATAAAATGTCGATCTCATAAATTTCACTATAAATATGTTGGAGACTTATAATTTGGCGGTCTCTTTTAAGAAATAATCTAGTATTGTAGAGATAAAATCTAGAAGTCTAGCTCTGATATAAATATTCGAAATAGCATCACAATTTGTCTGTTAAGAATGTTAATTATAAATTTACTTATAATATGCTACATTTTATAGGTACCTATATATTTTCCCCATTTTCTGGTTTAGAGAGAATGTTTAAAAAGTTTGTTACTTAATATCGCAACGTGTGTTATAGTTTTCAAACGCTTATCATTATTAAAATTTCCTTAGTACAAATTTAAAATCTATTAACAAGGTTGTAAATCTTTAATCACAATGTGTATGTGATATAATTTTTTTTAAGAAGTTTCGACTTATTGACATAATTATAATTATACTGCCGATCAAATTCCATGAACAATTCCCAAAGAGTGAAACTGTAACTCATTCCAAAGTCTTATAGTAAATTTTCCACGTATGGTATCAACTGTTATCAACCAGCGAAGCAACGCTTTCTATTCAAAGACCAAGTTTGACAGCGCCACAGATAAAAAATAAACACTCAGATAGTGTGGGACACAGATTAAAAAGCACCTCTTTAAAAATGTATCAAATCTATGGAAGATTTTAAACAACTGGACTTACTGCTTTATTATCTCATCTGTGGGCGACCGTAGATAAAATAAATTTATCAATTTCCTATATGTTTGATCGCAGTGTAAGTCGGGGGATATTCAACTAGTTTTTTTTTTGTTAATTATTTTCTGGTTTCGGCTTTTGTCATCACTTGAATTATTGATGCAGATTGTCCGTTCTATAATTTATTTATAATAGACTTTGAAATGAGTTAGAATTTAGTATTTTTGAAATAGTTTCTTTGAGTAGGTGATTATTGAATGTAATGTGTTATTTGATTTCGAGGTTTTAAATCTTTTTGCGTATTTATTGTGAGAACTTTTGTGTTCTATTAGCTATTTTGTTGTATTTCCTCGTAGTATTTTATTGATAAAAATTTTGAATTTTATATTGTGTGACTTAAAATTCAATATCGATTCGCCAACGTCATAATCATCATTTCTATTATTTATATCGATGCGATTATTGTAAGATTTTGGTTCATAATATTAACAATTTATTGCTTTATTTTGCTTATTGTCAAGGCGTGAGAAAATCAAAATGAAATACATACATACGTCATTATATTTGGATGTATGGAACCGGCTGATACTCACATATAATAAATAACAAAAATTAAGCATCTATTATTTGGCTTTCTGGTGTTAATTTTAATGAAAAACTAGAAAATTGTTGACAATAATACCACTTAATTTGAGTTGTAAGTTTACGCCTTAAATTTTGAAATTAATTTCAATGAGCAGATATTTTTACATTTTTCTGTCTTATTATATGCTTAATCATATAAAATTCGTCCCTGGAAAGGATATTTAATGTTTAATCCAGAATTTAGTACTACAGTTTATAGTTCGAACGATGTTACGTACTTTGTAAAATTTTTGACAGACTTACGTTGTTAATCTTATACAATTACTAGCTGCTTCCGCGCGGTTTCACACGTTCTGCTCAGCTGGTATTGGTCGTAGCGTGATGTTTTGATGATGTAGCCTATAGCCATCCTCGATAAATGCGCTATCCAACACAAAAATAATTATTCAAATCAGACTTGTAGTTACGGAGATTAGCGCGTTCAAACAAACAAACAAAAAAAAAACAAACTCTTCCGCTTAATATAATAGTACCTATAAGATAATTTCAACGGTCAATTATATATGTAAAATATGTCACAACAATTCTTTTCCATCAAATAAACTCGACAAAATTAATTAGCAACAACGACAAAAATTTTCAAAAACAGATAGAAATCAAGTAATCCAAACAGTAGTTTAAGAATTTAACCATGAATTTGAACCAACAAAAACGGCCATTAACTAAACAGTTTGATAAAATTGATTACTGTTTTGACGGTATTCGGATTTCGTTTATCTATAACCGACATCTAAGGAACCGCGTAACTGCATTAACGTTAACAATTTATTGGTACAGCCGTATACGCAAGTTTTCTTACTTTCTTTTTAATGTAAATCACTGTTTTTGTAATAATTATCGTGAGACATACCAAATTAACTAAAAATCGCGGGTTCTTACGTGAATATACCGAGAAAAGCTTTACTAGTTTCGAACCATAGAGGGGTTCTTCTTACAGCCTACTGCCATCGCCGCGACCGCGCACGCTGCTTATGAGGAAGAACCCCTCTGTGGTTCGAAACTAGTAGAGCTTTTCTCAATGTATTCACGTGAGTAACCCGCGATTTATAGTTAGTGTAAATCACTTTTTTAAAGTGAATGTTTTAGAGGTTCCCTACTTTTGTGTAAAATACTTTTCAGTTAGTATAACTACAATATTTTGTCTTACTGCCTGACTGGGCTAACTACGTACCACCTTAAAACATTTTTTCTCTCCTTTTAAACCTTTCCTGGACTTCCACAAACATTACAATACCAAAATTAGCCAAATCGGACCAGTCGTTCTCGAGTTATAGCGAGACTAACGAACGAAAATACATAACTATTTATACAGATAATCTTGTTTTAAGTAAACACAATTTCAAAGTATGTATTGCGATTATTCACAATTTTTTTAATGTTTGTAACTTTGATAAGTTGGATATCATTATTATTTTAAATTAAATATATCAACAGTCTTGTCATAACAAGGTCGATTCGGAGTCGCGGAGAACCTAACGGATTAACGGGGCTCCGGCTCGACGTGCAGGAGAAGGAACGCGGTGGTTTTTAGTCAGTAAGAGTCTGACACTCCCTCCCGCCTCACCTAGGCGGGAGAAGCCATTCGATGATTTTCCACCCTTAAAAAAAGTCATAACAGGCTAATCTGACACTAGTCACAATCGCAATAAGATGCAATTTCTCACACCAACTTCAACATAATCTTGCTTTACCCATAGTAGGTCCATTCAAAAAGAATTGCATTCAAAATAATTCATAACACTTTTAAACATTCAATAGGTTCCCAAAAACATCTAATCATTACTGACCGCTATTTCAATTCTGTCGTCGCCAGTAACACCGCTATCGAAGTTATTTGTTGATTCACATTAACTTACTGTCACAGAGCCTTAACTGAATCAGTAGCTTAATCGCTTGTTAATTTGTTAGATCTGAAGCTAAAAGTGCCGCTTTTCTATATTTATGACTTTATTCTGGCTTCCAAGTTTATTTTATTCTTTATTTTTTTCTAAAGACTATCATTTATGCTCCTTTAGTGAAGTTTCAGTGATAACGAAGCAATTAAAGTTGTTTTGTTTTATCTTTATAATGTTTTATTTGTGTTTTTTGTCGGCGTGATACTTTGAGACTAGAAATATTTAGTTTTTTTGTATAGGTGTAGCGCTTTTCAAATTAATCTTGCTATTGGATCCTAATTTAGATAGAATTTTAGCATAAACCACGCCTTTAAGTTCGAAACTATATGCTTTTATCGTTAATGTGTTTCTGTATTAATTAATAGATTCAGACGATATCTCTGAATATATTTAATTCTTAAAAAAAAGGGTTGAAGGCAGATTTTTCATAGTTTATGAGAACAATATTGTAATTTTTAATGCTAGCAAGATTAACCATAACATATTATGATACGATATCTAAATGAAATAACAATACAAAAGGTCCTAACTAAAATATCTCAGCCAAATTAAGTTGAAATTAAAAAAGAGAAACTAATATAAAAATCGATCGCAATTGATTTACATTTCGTGTTAATTATGAACGCATAAACAGACAACGTATTAAAGCATGCACCACTTGTTTAGGCATGCGCCTGCGACTACTTGATATAGGGTTGTCAGTATTTATAAAGTGATATAAAAGTGCGACATTTTTATTCAAACATAACATTACGCCTTTTAACCCCGAAGAGCTAGGCAAAGGTGCACATTACGGCACTGAATGCCACTGTACAAACGGTGAATTTTTATTTTAATTACTTACGAAATAAAGGTTCCTTTAGCTTGACTGTCGGTTTCTTTGATTATTGTGTATTTTTTTTATAAATGTGTGTGCATTATCTTTTTATAGTACCTCTATAGTATTGATTTATTTTTTTATTTATTTAAGGTTAATAACAATGTTAGCTAGATCGATGTACGGTGGCCTATGGACGTTGGTCTTTCTTCAAGAAAAAGTAAAAAAATAGGTTATTATTTTGTAATTTTTTAATGCTAAAAATATCGTATTTTGCACTCTGAAATGGATCCTCCAATCACAAAGCGGAGAAAAAAAATAACTAAAAATCCTAATGACGGTTTATTTTTCTAATTAATTGTCTTAATCCAATACTAGGTTATTATATATAAGTAATAACGTACTTTATCAAAGCAAGAAATTTTTTAATAACCAAATATAAAAAATCGTTTGCCTAATCTATTTTATTATGATCTCAAGAGACAACCTTGATTCCAGATAAAGTTTGCCCGATGTACCGATCGGATTAGCATACGTAATACCGTTATCTGCTACGAATTCATTGTCGGTCTTATTAATAAGCAAATCTACGTATTTGCGTCTACTTTTATCTAGCATGCCTTCTATGAGCGATGACGTAATAGGAACAGTATAATGAGTGTGAATGAGTATAGAAATAAAAAAATATAGACATGAATTGGGTACTTGCCAACTTGTCACATTCAATACTTACGTTTTTCGAACTGTTAAAATGACAATTTTCTATGAATTTTGTACGAGATTGTGTATTGTGACGTTACGTTTTTTGGCGTCAAACAGCATACTTATTTACTGGAAAAACACTGAAATCAATTTGGTCATAAAATCAATTAATGAAACCGTGGTTACTTTTTAATATTTTATTGTGTTGAACAATCGAAATAAATTATTTTTGATTGAAAGTACCCAATTGTATCAAAACGTCTCTTAGAAATTTGTTTTACGTTTAACGAAATCGATACGAAACCGCGGTCGGTGCTCTGATTGGCTGGTTTATTGGAGCCGGCCAATTACAGCGCCGAACGCGGTCTCGTTTCGATGTCATTAACAAACTCTTACTAAACCCTCAGATATTTAACTTATTGAATGCAGTACATATTTTAAATGTCACATTCACATTTCATAACTATTCACAATATTTTTTTTGGCTTTATGTTAAGTATTATTATTGAGGTTTCAGGCTAGTCCGTAGTGGATCTGTCAACAAATATTACGTTAGGATTCGAGACTTTAACCAGAGATTTTAAAGAACGAAAAATATGTGCATTGGTTTTTTACTCGAAATGAAAACCAAGATATCGTTGGCACTTAAATACGTCTAAAAGATATATTTTTAAAACTGTAAACTCAACCATTTATTTTACTTCATCGACATTAGGAGAATATGCTATTTTGATCCAGTTTTTGCTGATACAAATTGGGTGCATAAATAAATGTTTCCTTTGTATAAGTTCATTGGTTCACAAAAACTGTACCTAATTTTTTATAAGTAGGTAATACATCACCGCTCGATAATTTTCGGTAGCATAAAATAATAATTTATATGTTCGTTTAAAATTGCTTTTTCGACAGGTTTTGTAATATTTATAGTCTTTTTTGCAAGGGTGGATTATATGGCTATGGTATAATATGATAGATATGTTGTTTTATGCATATTTTGATGCATGTTTGAGCTTATAAATCACTAACAGCTATCTTTGAAGTTTCGGTATAGCGCATATTAAATCTATTATTAATTCTAATAAAAGTCCAAGTTAAAATTGTTATTTTATTACTATTTTAATTTAATTTTGGTTCTAAATAACATTTTTAAAATTATAGATATTATCGCTATTAGGAACAGATACAGCAAAATTGTTTTTAAGATATTTAAAAGGGTTTTTATAAACATTCTCAGTAGTAGCACGGAGTCCAGTATTGTGCCCAGTATAAGCAAAGGCTCACCCCCTATTACCGACATAGGACTCATAACATGAATAGTGATAAGTGGGTGTTCCATTGTACAGTGGCTAGTGGCATTAAGTACCGTAATGTGCACCTCTGCCTATTCTTTTGGGGATGAAAAGGCGCGATGTTATGAAGGTACATTAAAAATCAAAACATAAGTAATATTTTCACATTTAATCTGTATTTGCACTGCCTGCCGCATGTTGCCTACCCTTATATAAGAACCCGATACACTTATATGGTAAACTTTTACGATTTTAATTCTTAGCGGCTATTTAGACTTTGTACAACAGGTCCTAAATAGCAATATTTAACTGGAATAAACCTCTTTACATGAAACCTCTATCTGGACAAAAGGATAAAGCAATAAAGTTCTGGTAAACTATTACGATTTTAATTCTTAGCGGCTATTTAGACTTTGTACAACAGGTCCTAAATAGCAATATTTAACTGGAATAAACCTCTTTACACGAAACCTCTATCTGGACAAAAGGATAAAGCAATAAAGTTCAATTTTAATTGTACTTGTACCAGATTCGGTCCTGTAAACTGTCCATTACGTAACCTAATGACTGTTGCGACTATTGTTAAATATAAAATTTATCTTGAGATGTGGTGTTTTACAGATACCAGAGTATTTAGTATTGGTTCATCTTAAAAGCAAAAGATTGTCTTAATTTTATTTCTTATTTGAATCATCTGACTTTTTTTTGTATAGCACGATAATTATTATGTCTGATCTATTTTATTAAAAGTATGAATATTTCGACGAAAGGTAATAGTGACTGCACTGTTGGTGCAGTGGTTGGGTGACCGGTTGCTAGGCATCGTGTCGCGGTTTCGATTTCCGCGCCAGCCAAAAAGTGATATTGGTATTTTCTGAGTCAAATAAACACTATTGGTCCGGAGTCAGGAAGTTCAAGTTCGTCCCGTGCTTCAAAAAACACTTAAGGCTATTGGTCCAGCGCCTCTCTTCAGTCGTATCCTTCTCCCATCGGTTTCAGAGAGTGAGAGACCAGAGAGTGCGCAAACACGCGCAGACACTTGCACCCTATAACATCTCCTGCATAACGGGTTAGTCTAGTTAGATAGACTAGGCCACTATGGTTGAAATCGATCGGGAGATTTATAGTAGTTATCTATTTTATTAAATAACCTCTGAAACTAGACAAACAAGGAAAATCAACAAAATAAATATTCGTTTGAGAATCACTTTTCTGACCATTCTTTACCGAACATCGAGTGTTTTTTTTTCATAGTGTAAGAACTAACGACGTCTCGCCAGCCGACATGTAATTACAACACGTAATGTCTATATTGTTTATTAAAAAATAACGGCTCTTTGACTATCTGGCGCATTTTTTACACGCGCTCATATGAATTTTTTGATGGCCGATAATGTTTTAAAATATAATAAATATATCACGATTTTCTTGTTATAATGTAAAGTTTGTGAGTTATTATTTTTATGAATTGATTATCTGTAGGCAGCTACATATATAAAGATGATAATTACGTATTAATATACATATAACAACATCACGTTTATGACGTATAAGTTTCGTAAAGCTTCTCTATATTCATAATCCTACTAAAATTAATAAATGTGATAGATTTCGCGACTGATGTCATTTACACCATGTGTGTATGTGTGTGTGTGTATGTGTGTTTGTTACTCTTTCACGTCCAAATGGCTGAAGGGATCGAGATGAAATTTGGAGCAGAGGTAGATAATAGTCTGGAATAACACATAGGCTACCTTTTAGCCTACAGTGTGGGCAAAACCGGTGGAAGAAGCTAGTAATATAATAGATCATATTATTGTTGACTTGATACCTAAACTGTATAATACTCTTACACAATCATTACAATTTTACTCAAAATAAACACACTAAATTCATTGCCATATAATATACATCATAATATATCAGAAGCTCTATCAGAAGCTCTGCTTACCCCACTTTAATACCAAGCCTGATCCCGTGATATATCTGCTACCGCTCTCGCCCACCAATTACGGGATAATTACAAAGCTTGCCTCGCCCGGAATTAAAATACTCGAACCTTGTACACTTTTTTCTGCTGCATA